CATGTTCCCTCCCTTTCACCCATCAAACTTCACTTGCCCTCCTCCTCCCTGGAGCAGTGACTGCTGCCAGTAAGCTGGGGACATGGGCTCAGCATTAACTGTCTTGTTCTTGGGAAGCATGGGGGTGGTCAGCCATCCTGAAGGCTGATGTGCACTTTGGAGCTCGATTCCAGACTAGTGGATCAATTTTTTCTTCTGACTTTTTCTTCAGACAAAGCTATTTTTAGAATCACCAGCTGAGGAGGAGGAAGGAGGGCTCCTGTCACGTGGAAGCCTGGTGTCATCCTGCTTTTGTGAGGTCTAATAGAAATTGTCCCTGTCCACAGCAGGGGGGTGTTGGAACTCAATGATCTTTAAATTCCCTTCAACATAAGCCATTCTATGATTCTATGAAATAATAGGAAATTTTTTAAAATGCATCATATTTCAAGCTTGAGCTACATCAGGGGCCTGAGAAGCATCAGGAAAGATGCTCATTGTTTTCACTTGGGTCTGTTCAGCCTTTGAAATAAAATAAAGAAGAAAACAAAAAAAAAGAAAAACCTAAAAACCCCCAAACAAAACATAACAGTGAAGAAATATCATTTGCCATTAAGAAGCAAACCATTCACCCAAGGAAGAACACAAGCTGAATCCCAGAAGGAAAGGAGGCAGCTATGGTGGTAAAGCAGCATTACAATGCAACATATATTTAAAAGAAATAATACATGTGTTTAAATTGCCACATGTTCTATTTTTAAGATGCCATTTATTTAATAGTTGAAAACCCCACTGACATGGAGATAGAGATCTATTGTGTGACTGAAAGTCAAAGTCTGACTGCAATGTCCTTGGTTTTGGCTTTGTCCTCTCCCTGCCCTTTTGGTTCCCGTGATTAATCTGTACATCTTAAACTTACTCAGGGACTGTATGTCCCTCCTGTAAGAAGCCTTTTTCTACCCTGTGAATGATGGAGTTTCTGAGATGGTCAATTCAATCATGCGGGGAAATAACCAACAATGAAGTTTGTTATGAGCCTGTGTAAATTGTAGAGGATACTGAAAACTGTTTTAATACCCACTAGATACGTTGCTGATACAGATGTTGTGTATAGAAATGTACTGTTTTATTGGGGGTCAATGTGCTTTTTCACTGAGTGCTTAAAAAACCCAGTGGCAAAATTGGTTTTTATGTAAGAAGAAAAATATCTTGTTAACTAAGAAAAAAAAAAAAAAGAAATGTGAAATATCCCCAGTTGAGCATCTGCTGGGCATTTTTAGCAGCAAACTAGACAGGAGGAGCTTGCTGGTGGGTTTGCTCAGGTGGGACTCAGTTCACTGCCTTCAATTATGGTTTCAAGTGGCATGAAACCAGGTCAGCCCCAGGCTGGTTGCAAGATGCGTGGAGGATAAGAAAAGAGCATGGGGAGAGAGCTCGTGGTTGGCTTTGGGTGGGTGCAAGGGGTGGTTGGACATGAGCAGCCTGTGCCAGACACGGGCAGCCTGTGCCAGTGCTCTGCCACTCTCAGTGTAAAGTTCTTCTTCACGTTGAGGTGGAACTTCTTGTGTTTCAGTTTATGGCCATTGCTCCTTGTCCTGTCACTGACACCACTGAAAAGAGTCTGGCACCACCCTCTTGGCACCCACCTTTGAGACATTTATATGCATAAATTAAATCCCCTCTCAGCCTTCTCTCTTCAGCTCAGCCCAGTGCCTGTTGTTACTCCTGCCAGGACAGTGGCTGCTGCACCACCTGACATAGGGGATGTGCACCTACTGACAGATCAGATCACCCTTTTTGGTGGAAAACTTAAAGCAGCCATGTGTTGAGTGGGCTTTTTCTTTGAAGTGACAGAACACAACAACCCCAGCAGACCAGACAAGTCAGATGGAGGAAATTACATAGCTCCCTATTGCCTTTTTTTGTTTGTTTTTTCTGCTGAAACAGCTTTTAAAAAAACCTGTACTGGAGTAAAAGAAACTGCGTTAAAACGCCACAAAGTGGCAGCAACACCAACCCTGCTGACAGAGCAAAGAAAGAATTACAACTAGACATTTCATCTCCTGGCTGGGTGAGCTTTATTTGCTGCCAGTTCAAGTCGAGAGAACGTGCAAAGCTTTTGAAAACAAGTACAGATGTGGTAAAAGCGGACAGCAAAAAGTTTAACTGGAGCATCTGGAACAGATACTTGGGTTTGCAAAACTGCACTGCAGTGATGCCGAATATAGTTTTAAAAGCAGTTTCAGCCTAAATGAAGATAGAAAGCCCCATTTAACTGTGGAGCAGCCTGGAGTTAAAAATTTTCCAGGCATTTGTTCTAATTAAGCTTGAATGGGTTAATTGGCTGCATTTTTATTGCCTGTTGAAAACTTGTTTGTAAAATGAATCTCAGTGTTATTCTCGTGGGAGCTGTGGTCCCGTCATACAGGACCAGTTGAGCATCCTGCAGCTGCCTCGACAGGCAGAGGGAACACACAGTCAGCAAGGTAAACACAACTTCTGGTTCTCATGGTGGTTCAGGGCACTTGTGTCCGGCTGGTGCTGTGAAACTGAGCAGTCAGTGTTGCGTTCTGAGCACTTGATTTTATGTCTAACAAACCTTTGTTCGCTCAGGCCTGACCCCGTTCCTCAGGGATTGCCATTTGTAGATATTTTTGCCTGCTGATGTGAATTTCTCATGCAGCTTGTTTCCAACTCCTAGAAGAGATAGAATCACTTCAGGAATCCAAATGTTGTTGCAAGTGGAGGTAAGATACAGCACTGGAGTCCTGCAGCCTTGATGCACAAAGGCATCCCAGATTTTAGGTGAGCGCAGACAAAAGTTCAGGGATGCAAAACAATCTCATAAAACCTCATGGTGCTTCAATAGCCTTAGAGCTGCTGAACTGTTTCTAACACTGTTCTCGCACTGGAATGCAGTGGGGTGGAGCGCAGAGAAACAGGCTGTTCACCCGAGTGCTGGTTTCAGCACCTGCTGCCAGTTCTGTGGGCAGCAGTTGTGCTTTCATTTAATTACCTTCCCACTGCTCTAAAAGAAAGGAGTGTCTTACCAGATCACAAGCAAGAGGGAATTTCCTTGGTTTTGATGAACAAACTGCTTCTGACGTGTTCCGTCTGCCCTCCGTATGTAATGTGTTAACCGTGCAAGGGTTAACAACACTGGCACTGCAATAACTGCCCCCTAATCCCACCGCATCCAAAGGAAGACCCTGGAGACAGGCAGGGGGTCCCTCCCGTGCCTGGCTGGGATCACTGTTGCCTCCCGCTGTTTCTCCCGTGCAGCATCCCGATGCTTGATGTCTGTTTGGTTGTGCTGATAAACACAGGGTGTGAGCAAAGCTCTCTGCCAGCGTGGGCTCGGCTACCTGCAGGGCTGCATCCCCCTCTGCAGGCAGGCGTTCCAGTGGAATCACTGTCTCAGCCGATGTTCAAACAGGAGGGAAGTCTGCAGTCTTCCGGACTGGACTGAGTGAATATACATATTTTGTTTACCTTTTAAAGAATGCAAGTATCACGTGTCGCCTTCTAAGATACTCACAGCCAAATATTTTAGCAGGATGTCAAATCTAAAGAGGTTTGCTGCAAACACAGCTTTATTAGGAATGTGATGCGTGTGAGGGTGCCTGTGGGGCTGCAGGACGGTGGAGACAGGGAGGTGGCAGGTCCCAGAAGCTTAGGATGGGTGACAGCAGGGGGGTTTGTAAGGAGTGGCTGCACCCACGTGACTGGAGATACGCGGCCAAGGGGGCTGGTCAAGAGTGGTCCAAAGTCTGGTCATGCTCCCCCCAGAAGTACATGACGTTGTTAAAATCAGTGGGTCAGAAACTCACGTGATTAACTGTGACCACACTTGATTCCTCCAAAATGAGTTTTAAGTTGCATTTAAAGGATGTACTAATTGGCATCTTTGGGTTTACGGTTTTTATGGGAGAGGTCAACGCTTTCAGATGCAGGAAAGGGTCATTAACATAAGCAGAGACAATTCCACATTTGGGATCAGATACATATCATGCTTAGACACAATGATTTCCTGGCCCTGAATGTTCACAGACTTTAGTATTGCAAATGCAGGAGCTGCATGGACCAGGGAGGGTTTTCCTTTCTCATCATTATCCCATTGCCAGCACTGAAAGAAGCAAAATGAGTTTGCCAGTGTTAAATCACAACAGCTTTATGTGCAGGTAGGTCATTAGTTTGTCACCAAAGTAATCCTGCATTTTAATTTTTTTTTTAGAGTTTCACATCATTGTCTCATTTCCAGCAGTAGTGTTTCTAAAAACAGTTCCACACAAAGTATTTGTAGCTCTGGTGCCATCTAAGATTATTAAGGTGGACACCACTGTACTGGCAACAAGGTCACTCCTTGTAAACCTGCTTTGCAGTTTTCATGCCAGTCTATGAAGATTCACCTCCAGAGGCCTGAGCACAAGTGCTGGGGCAGGGCTGTGCATTGAAATACAACTGAGGTGTCTGTCTTAGGATCCTGTTCAGACCTACTTACGGCCACAGGGTGACAGCAGAGCTCCTCCCACACAGTACAGGATCCCAGCGCCTTTGCTGTCACCCGATCTCCCCCCTGGACACTTCTCCCTTTGGTGCCTGGAAGGTGACTTTGGTCAGTGTGGTCCCTCACACATTGCCCTCACTTTTCCACCAAGAGGAGAAATGTATCAGCTGGTAACCAGCACTGCCAGGCTACTTGGTTTCACAGTCAGTGTCACTTCGTAGAAAACTTGGGGGTTTTTTGTTAGCCAGGACATCCATAGAAAAACCCCTTTGGTCCCAGAGAGAGAACCTGCTTCCCTTCTTTCCACCCCTCCTAGTCAGATTAAGAGCCACAAGGGTAACCACAGCCTTTCAAGGCGGGTAGCAGGGTGGTACAACTTGCAGCTGTAACACAGGGTTTTCTCTGCTGCCAAAAGCTTTCTGTTGAGAATTATACACTGCAGAAAACAAAAAACACTCCATGCTGTAATGCTTCCCAGCAATAGCATGACCCAGTCATACTACAAACGAGGTGCTTTGAAGTACAAATGTTTTATTGCAATGTTTCATTATTTACAGTACCGTTCACTGTGTCCCTGGGTGCTACCAAAGTGCAAGCCATTTCGGACAGGAAAGCTAAACCACGGTAACTCAGCAGCAAAACGTGGCTGTGCCTTACGCTCGTGCTGTCCTGCCTCTTCCCCGGGCCTGAATGCAGAGAAGTTTGCTGCTCTCCCTGGTCACTGGGAACAAACAACCTGGTAACGTGAAACTTTGGTCACAAAGGATTGTCAGTTGTTGGTCTTTCAAGAGGATGCAGGAACAGGAATCTGCAGTATTTCCAGATGGACCTTACTCGGAATTCAGCGTTTCTGATTGCATAATGAGATGTGTCTGTATGCAGGACTGTCAAATTCCTATTTTGATATCTTTAGGTAAGTACTGGTTTATTTCCAATTATTTCTGTTGCTGATTCTCTTTGGTTTATGTAAGCTTTTCATCATCTACCTGTTTTGAGGCTATCCATCTACTTTCTTAAAAGAGCCAGTACCTCGAGAACTACCAGAGCTGCTACTGGATACTGATACTGGTTGAGTCTTTACTGAAAATTTTATTATGCACTTCCATTTCATATAAAGATGGTGATTCAATGACCACTGAAGCCTACATTTTCACACACTGTCATCTCAGAGTAGGACAAACTACACCTGTTACTTCAGGAATGATCTCTGAACAGAAAATCACCTTTGGAGAGGAGAGGTATTAACTACAAATTTTATCCAAGACTAAAGAATTCCAGTATTCCAGTGGCTAAACTCAGGTCAAGAATCTTTTCAGTTTTCTAACGAGTACTACCTCAAGAAACTACTTTCAAAGACAGTTTTCAGACTTAGTTCCACTGCTGCCAGCAGTCCCTTGGGAGGTGGGCAGTGAACTTCTCTGCATCAGTTATTTTATTGTGCACCAAGGATGTCGTTACCTTTTAAAACTTGAGATGCCTTGTGTTACAAAGCTCTTGTACAATTAGGAAATGTTTAAGACTCCATTCCAGAAAATAAGTTATATTAAATGGCACTCGAGTCCTCCAGGAAACATGTAGCAGGGCTGTTGGGTGAAGTTCAGCAGTAACAATTTCTGCCCTCTCCTCTCCCCATGCCTGGTTTACAGTTCCTGTAATAATGAGTCCCTGCAACAGCTGCCTCAAATGATTCTGAAATTACAGCTTCTCAAAAATGGGATGATTGCAGCTCTTGGCAGGTTTTTTTCCTGTGAGTCATACTTTTATTCCAAATTATCACAGGCTTTTCTGTATCACTATTGATAAAAAGTCACCAAAAGCTTTACAGCTGCAGAAGGTACCATTTTCACAAAGAAAATGTACTGGATTGATTTCTTAACCTACCATACAAAACACAGTGTTTAAAAGCTCTGCAGTGCCTCCCTATTACCATTCCTTTGGAATTTGGAGAAGGCAGCAGAGCTCACATGCAGTCAACAACATTGCTGGATCCTTGGCCCACATCCCGGATCTGGCTGCTGAGACAGGAGCACACGGCCACGCCTGCCCCTGCCCGGCAGTGTGACACTGAGCCCACGAGCTCCCACCTACGGAACGTGGCAGAGGGAAAAAAGAAAAGTCAGTTCCTGTCCTTTCTGAGCAATCTGAAAGAATTTATTTTCTGTGTCCAAAATTCTTTTACACGGCCTAGATGTTTACCCTGCACAAAAATGCACCCCAGTAGCTTATTATTTCTCTGTAGGCTGTTACTGAAAGAACAAGGGATGCAGAGGAGGCAGGAGGTGCTTAAATATTTACAAAAACAACCTAGTGGCATAGGCAGCAGTCCTACATCAACAGTCACAGATATTACTCAATTATTACCAGGAAACAACAGCTAGACTCCTGCTGCATATTGTTGTGTTTTCATATAGGCAGACATCACTGTCTTATTAAGGCAAACAAAACATTTAAAATTACCTATTCACTATGGGATCAAATGCTTCCACTGTATTCAGGTACACGTTGCCATTATGACCTCCAACTGCAAAAATCTTTCCCATCAGCGTCGCGATGCCAACACCACCCCTCGGAGTTGTGAGCTCTGCCACGTATTCCCATTTGTTACTGCGGGGGTCAAACCGCTCCACCGAGCTCAGTGGGGAGTTGTCATCAAAGCCACCTGCAAAGAACCATCACATTTATCAGTTTTTAGACAGTTCTGGTGCAGGTGATGCCCAGGACTGGCATTATCAGGCTATTCTCAGTGTTCAGGAGGTACTGTCCAGCTCTTTCTTTACCAAAACTTTACAAACTCCTAAAAATTAATCTAGCAGCTCTCCCCCGTCACTTTACAAGGATCACCCCAGAGTGACAGTTTTCTTCTATTTAAGTTGCAAGGGTTCTAGTTCTATTATTTTTCTCCTTGAATTCATCATACTTACAATGAAATAGCTTCCCATTCGGAATAGAAAAAAACCCAAGGACCAACAAAAAGATGGTCTCAATCTTAAGCTTAGTTTAGTTTATGCAAAACACACTCTTGCAGAGTTCTCAAGTTTACAGCACTGACGAGTACCTGAGCAGGAAACAAAAACTCCCCATGTGAGACTTCAACGTTGCTTTCCCCTTGCTGGGGCAGCTCTCAGAGGAGCATTCTGCTTGAAACCTTTGTAAGCATTTATGGTAATGCACAAACCAGAGCACTTCAACTATCACTATGGCACACCTACCTGGCATCTTCCTCCCTCAGGAAAGCAGGTAAAAGGTAGCGCACAGGACAACAGGCTGTGGAACAAGCGCGAGAGAGCTACTGTTGTCTACACTCAAAACACAACTAGAAAGCTTTGAAAAGTGTGCAAACTTAAAAATAATTTTCTAAAAGGAAACCCAAGATTAGTGAGTCTGAAAAGGTTTTCTAATACAGACATATTGTCCTGAACAGCATAACCCTCCTGAAACGTGGGTTAGGAACTGCTTTTTTATTTCCTAGCTAACATACCTTCAATTAAGCGTGTCCTGGTTGTGCTTGCTCTCTTCTCCTGCCCAAGAACACCAAGTACAAGTCAGGTCTATTTGTTCCCCAGTTTCTCTAGCAACAACAGCTTCTTCCACAAGCCAGTACCTGGCAGCACCAGCACTACAAAACGCCACATCCCTACTCACCGACAACATACAAGCAGCCGTGGAGTTCGCTGACACCATTCCCAGCTCTTCGCTGACCCATTTCTTTCACTTCTATCCACTTATCCAAATGGGGATCGTATTTCTCCACACTGGAAAGAGATGCTACACCGTCATTGCCCCCCACAGCATAAACGTGGTTCTGGAAAACAGTTGCATACGAAAAGATTATTAGGAATGTAGTTGTCTTTACAACAACAGTGTTAAAATTATAGGAAAACCTGGTATATCCACACAGTCCTAATTATTTACTTTAAGAATTCCAACAAAAGACTTAATTATCTAACATAAATGCCATCTTCCAATTAAAGAAGAGAAAAAGTTATGTAGTGTTGCAGTTATTTTGCAGAGCACAACATGGCAACAGAGGGTCTGAAGTGCAGATGCAATCGGCACCTTTAAACATGATGACCATGCCAAACTTCTGAGGAAGACATGAAGCACTAGCCATGTGGTTAGAAGGGTTCTAAGCACTTGCTCCCAGTACCTCAAATACTGTTGAAACAGCTCAGTTTGATACGAGTATTATCCTAAATATCCTCACCTTTTGCACAGTTCCATAGGATTTTGATGACCAGAGGTGCTCAGACCCACCAGCTGCATTTTAGTTTAAGATCTCATGTTCTGCCTTGCAGAAGCAGATTTGAAAAGCAGGTCGGTTCCTCAGTTGGCCCTGACTTGGGAGTAAACAGCCACTTACCACCAGGGCCACGGAGCCGACTCCTCCCCGGGGAGTGTTCATAGGGGCGACTGTGCTCCACCGATCGGAATCGATGTCGTACCTCTCCACGTCGCTGAAGCAGGTGTTGTCATCCAGACCTCCTATCGCGTAAATGGGGCCGCCAAGGGAGGCCAGAGCGATTCCTCTCCTAGGAAAGCGACAGGATCAACACCTCAGCGCGAATCCTCAAGGAAAGGGAATGACACATCAAGTGTAACGTTAACATGACTGGCACCTCTTTCAGCTATGGGGGAAAAAGGCAACGAAAACTTAAAAAGTGAAGTTTATAGTAAATAATGTAGCTGGCCCTCTGCATACCTATGCCAGAGGGACATGGAATACTGTTTTGACTGAATGTCACCTAAGGCCCAAGACCTCTACTCACATGCTCAGATATCTGGGATTGTCTTAGATATTTAATGTCTTTGTCTGGGTTTCTCTGAATGTCTCTCTCTGAATTTCATGCCTCCTATTTTGTTTTGTGGAATTTGATAAAGAACCAAAATCCGCTGGTTTTGACTTTGTTGGTATAGCTGGCTTCTACAATTTGGGAATGACTGAAGGGGGATATCAGTACATACTAAAAGGCAAACCTGTGCTGGATATTAGATGACTGAACTCTAGCAAGATGTAATCGCAATTTCTTCCGTTCTGATTTTTAAATTAAGTGTTAAAATGGTTGTCAGATTTGTTTCTACTAAATCTACCAATATGAGATTACCATCGGTAGTACAAAATTAAAAAGTATTGTCTAGTGTCTGCTTTAATTACAAAGAGAGACGATTTACCATGTCACTGAGAACATTCTCATCTCATTACACAGAGGGCAGATGGGCAGGAGCAAGGGAGGCACAATCTTTGTATAGAACAAACATTGTGGCAATATCCTGGGCTTAACTTAAATTGCCTCAACAAATAACAGACCTTATTACTGATGGCAGTTGTTTTCTATTTTGATTAGGTCGCAGCTACAAATAGCTGTGCTCAGCATGCCCCTACTTGTACAGGATGCTTTTAGAAACAACAAACAAAATGGAATGTAAAATTAAGGATGCTGGTTTAAATAACAGCAGAAACAAAAAAATTACGGATCTGCGAGTCCAGTAACATCTTAAAAGAATCTTGAACATCAAAAGGCAAGAAAAAATCCTCAAGTGGACTTTCAGTATTTTAGTGCTTCTGGTCTTTTGAGGCAAAAACATAGGCAGCCACTTCTTTACTAGGCAGTAAGTATTTCACTTTTCATGTTATGCTGGCAGTTATCTTGTTCATTCTTAAAAAAAAAAAAAATCCACCAAACCAGTTCATCAGTTTCAAGTTGTTTATCAGGCATAGCAGAAAGGTCCTTGATACCAGAACAATAGCATAGCTGGAGTAGAACAAGTTTCTGCTCCAGAAGCAAACCACACCCCCTCCCCCCCGCCAAAAAAAAAAAAAAAGAAAAGGATAATACCTTTATAGGACAAAGCTCCAAAACAGGGAGAAAAATGCCTGGAAATAGCAGTTTGAAAACCCGAATAAAGGCAGGACAGATATGATGTTTTTCAGCATCAGCAAGAAATGATGTACCATAGACTAGGACTTAAAAAATTTTGGATCATGGGACAAATATACCTCTTTGTGTTCATTGATGCCTTCATCATCCACTTGTTTGTGAGAGGATCAAACACTTCCATGCTTCCTAAGTGTTCATTTCCATCATGTCCACCTACCGCGTAGACTTTACCTGAACACAAACACATCTTTTGATATAGAGAGCGCTCGGCAACATTTCAGTTTTCATTTATACAGTATCCCTCTCTATGTGGAGACAAAGAGCTCAAATAACAGTTAAAAGTTTCTCTATGTTTTCAATATCAGAATTTAAGTAAGTATGGACTTTATATATTTTTATGCTGTACTCAAGCAGCAATCTATTCTAATGAGGGCTGGCTGACTGCTGTGTATGGCCATTTTTTATAAGTGGATTTATAAAAAGTAAATCCCATATTTAAGGCAAGAGGCTATATGCAGTTCATAGACTCAGAGAATCATTTGGGTTGGAAGGAACCTTTCAAGGTCATGTAGTCCAGCCCCTCTGCAATGAGCAGGGGCATTTTCAACTGGATCAGAGTTGCTCAGAGCCCCATCCAGTCTAACCTTGAATGCATCCAGAGATGGGCATTTACCACCTCTCTGGGCAACGTGGTTCCAGTGTTTCCCCACCCTCCCTGTAAAAAATTTCTTCTTCATATCTACTCTGAATCTACCCTCTTTTAATTTAAAACCATTACCCCTTGTCCTATTGCAACAGGCCTTACTATGAAGTCTGTCCCCATCTTTCTTGTAAGCTCCCTTTAAGTACTGAAAGGACACAATAAGGTCTCCACAGAGCCTTCTCTTCTCAAGGCTGAGCAGCCTCAACTCTGTCAATTCATAGTAGTGTCTTATCAGTAAGTATGGCCTCAGACTGGTTCAGAACCAAACACTCCCTCAGGAAATAAGCTTTACTGAAGAGAAGAATATTCAACAGTTAAGCAAGTAGTTTACTACTTGTACAACTAGTAAAAGTAACAATTCCAGCCAAAGGAGCAAAAACAAGTGCTTTCTGAATGGGGTTGCTTGAATAGGGTTACTCACCTCCCACAGAGATCACACCCACATGCCTCCTCCTGCTGTTCATTTCAGGGCCGAAGAACCAATTGTTCTTACTGATAGAGTAACACTCAATGCTGCGAAAGGGGTCACCTGATCCACCTCTGCCTCCGACACAGAACAGCACACCTGAAGAAGACAAAGCAGGTTTCCAGAGAACCAGCAGGAAGTTGGGGAAAAAAAATCGTATAGCAGAGCGAACTGAAAATTATGCAGTTTGGGAGAAGTCGTATTTCACTTCAAGGGCACAGTCACTGCCTTGCATAAATAACTGCACACTGGATTTTGGCCTTTGCTTGGCATGCTGCTATGGCAATTGGCTATCTATGCTCTTGCAAACACAATGCATATTTTAAATAGGCTTTACTGTGATTTTGCTTAAGGATATAAATACATAGTTTGTTAAATGTAACAACGTAAAATTTAGGATTTGCAGTCTAACATTCATCACTCACTTTTGGTGTAGGTTAGTCAAAGACTTTAGAAGTTAGCTCAGCCTTCTTACACCAAAAGATAACTGTCCACTGTTTTTGGTATAGCTTTGAACAGATTGCCTGGTCATAACATACTTAATAGCTCTAATACAGGTAGAGCCAATCATGATATATAAATAATGCTTTAAAGAAAGAAAATGACTGCTAAAATTCTGCTAGGAAAATGCAGCACATCATCTAAACACCAGAATGGCACATAATGTCTTTCCCAATTTTGCATTAAGACATTATACGCAAGCTATGCCTGCTTGATACCAATATACCTCCACAGATGTGCTGCCTTTCCTCCACACCACTCCCTACCAGATAACCAGACACACATTTAATTACCAGCAGTCTGCTTCCTTGGTGTTGTGCGAATGGAGTACTCAAAGTCAGGCACTGCCCTGCTGCTCAGGTGAAGGTGGTAGTTTCTCGCTTCATCCAGCAAATCCCTACATTTTAGATTCTGCTTGACAATCTCTTCCTTTGCCACAACGCCCATAAGGAAACAAATGGGCAAGAGAGGCAGCCGTACCTGACAGGAATGAACACAGTTGGAGAAACTGGCTGAACTGGCTGAGTCTCACCAGTCACAGTGATGCACATGTAACAGATGGCAGCTCCTGGGCCAGCTGGCAGCCCCACGCTCCTCACTGAAGGGAGTTGCGTTCATGGTTTTTTTCCCAGATAACAGTGATATGAAGTTCTTTTGAGTGACAAGTGTTTGATACAACCATTTGCACTTAAGCGACAGTGGAGAACTGTCCCTTGGCCAAGGCTGTGTGGAGAAGAAGTGACTTCACCAGGGTAGTCTGTGTCAGGTCAGTCTGCTAAGGGTTATCAATTTTTGGGTCACTGCTATGACAGCGTAAGGAGGGCTTATGCCAGAATGGTTCATTTTCTTTGGGTGGCAGGTCAAGAAAGGAAACACTGTCAGCATGAACTAAAGTGCCTATGAAGGACATATTGCTAGTGCAGTAACACCTTTCTTTGATGCAGACTTGATAGACTTCAGATTTAAAAAAATGTTGAGAGCCAATTGTTTCCTTCTCTAAATCCCTTCTGCCATTTATTTCAGCAAACCTTTCATTCTTCCTTGTGAGAGAAACAGTGAAGAATGTGAAGTACCATCAGGGGCACAGGTGGGGCACGTGTTAGTGGGGGGAACTGAGGTAAACCTCCCCACATTTCTTAAGGTTTGGAGTCAATGCCACCAAGCAGCTCTCAGTTAGCTCAGTGGTGAAGTCCACTATCTCCAGGGCTTCTCAGAGCAGCAGGATGGTGCTGTTACATTGCTGACAAGTGTCCTTGTCTCCAAATAAGCAAGTGTCTCTACCAGTTCTTCCTTACCTACTTGCTTTCAGTCTCACTTCTTCCTTTACTTTGGCCCGGCTTATTTTAGGCTGCTTTAAAGCACCACTGTAGCCCTGCTGACAGGCTCCTGAGGTTAGTGTTGTGGTAAGAACTCCAGGCTGACAGACTCAGAACCTGACTGTAACAGCAAAACCCATAAGGCTGATTATGATGTGGATAAAAACTGTTGATAACCCAGTCATGTTTTCTGCTAGCAATAATGTCCAAGTCAGCTGATGGCTCTGTATACTCTGGCAAATAACCCATATGTACAGAAAGGGGTTTACTTTTTCATTGCTTCAATATAGACTCTGGTTTCAATATTGGTACATATATATATAGATAGATACTCTGGTATCAGTAGAATGAAGTTGCTAATCTCATGTGATAGCACAACTGGGCAATAAAACTCTTTTTTTTTATTACATATTGCCTGTAAATTTAATTATAATGTACTAAAGAAGGGCTTTTTGTACCAAAAACCTCATGCTAGTCCAGATGAAACTGAAGGTTTTTGGACAACAGTTAATAAACCATCTATTACTAGGAAATGTGAAAAATTACACATAAAGACGCTGACAGTAGCATCTTAGTGGATCTCTCCTCACTCACGTAACACCAATATTAGCAATTAAGCCAAATGCAAAATATTAAAGTTGGATTTCAGTGACAACTGAAACCGCACAGCTGACCCTACCTGCTAAGACACAGGGAACCCCCAAAAATGGGGCATTTTGCAGCGCATGGCACGCACCCCAATCCTCCCTAGCACAGGTTCCCCATATCTGCCTCAAATATTGTATTTTAAACTCCCATAACCAGCACATGTGGAACTTGGATAACTGAAGTACCTAATGCTTTGACAAGAGGTCTGATGGGTGTCCAAGTAAGTTCAGCTGAATGATCTTTTGATACCTGTACGCATTTCTTTCAGAAGCAGTGAACTTGCATCAAGTCTGGACAACTGAACTGCAAACTCCTTTTGACTCCTACAGATAACCAGCAGTGCTAGTCTAGCAAGCATTAAAAAGGCTATCATGTTTCCTGGCCTACTTGTAGGGCTGACACATCTTAGCCTTCTGTTAATTAAACACATAAAATATTTTAGAAACATGACTTGATGTGACCCATCTCTGCTAGAGTTTCTTTTCTAGCCATGTAAAAAAATCTCTTCAATAGTTTTGCTTACTTTCTTAAATACAAATACATGCCAGAAAGGGCAGTAGTTTCAGGTTGGACGAGTGTCAAACCAAGAGAAGCGATGGCTTTCTCTGTTTCAAGTAAATCTAAGAAGTTTCTGCTCGACCAAAGATGTAGCTTTTTGCTGACTCCCCACCCCCCAGCTGTGAGCATAAAGCAAGTACTCTTCTCTCTTCAGAAACAGGTGAATATCACTTCTTCCTGATATTCAAGAGATCTAACCTGCTTCCATTGTCAGCTCAGAACTGTGAACACCAGATGAGGCCCCAACAGCTGAGAACATTTTTCATCTTAAGATCTACCCAGGTGCAAACAGTTGACTATACAACTAAACCAGTGATGAGACAGGCACGTAGTGCCTCGGTCCGCCCTACCTGTGCAAGTATTTCATCCAGCCACATGGCATGATGCTGTGGATTGGCCAGCAGCCACTTGATAGCAGCGTTGTAAACTTGCTTTTCATTTTCAATATTCAGGTCACTGGAGGACAGGAGTTTATGGAGGTGCTGCGGTGACACGCTCACAAAGTCCTCGCACTCCATGACCTCTGCGAAATGCTCGCAAGCGAACTGATCGGCCATGTCCATCAAGTCAATGCGGTTGTGGCTCTCGGCAAACGCCCTGACTGCCAGGCAGTTGGAGGGGTGGAAGTGCAGCTTCATGTATTCACAGCAGGCCTTTGCCACCAGTTCCACCTGCAGAATGCAGGCAGCGTACAGGAGGGGCTGGACGTTGTCCACCGTCAGCGTGAGCCGCGAGGAGTACGCGAACTTCACCAGGTCCTCTATCGCGTCGCCGTCAAAGTCCCTGATCTCGATCAACTTCTGCTTGGCCTCAGCCATTTCCGAAAGAAACATGGCTCTGAAGTAAGGGATGACACAAGCTAGAACCAGCTTGTGGCAGGAGATAAGCTTTGAACCAACCTGAAAAAAAAAAAAAAAAAAAGAACAAACAAACCCACCCATTTTACTTTTAATGTCAGTTTTGGCTGTGTAAAAGATAAACAGTAAAGCTAAAATAAAAATTCTGGACTCAATGTGCATTAAGCTACTGTATTTTGTTCAAACAAATTAACTCCATTTGCCCTGTACTTCTGGCATTACATCCAGGCAGATCCAAGTTGTTACTTGGCCACCAGAGTAGAGCAAAGCCATAAAACAAGCAACAGAACTGATGCACTGAACTTGCCTTTCTTTAAAAGCCACATGAGGCATCCTGAAGAATGTTCTAGATGCATCTTGGAGACAGAAGGAGGCTGATAGGCACTTGTTTTATGTGTATTCAGAGATTAATGGGGGGAATTGTAAAGTGACATTTTTAGACCAGTTAATTTGAAATTCTGGACTTTTACTACTGTCAAGGAATTGATAATGATGTTTACATAATTTATGTAAAACCACAGTAATACAGTTATTACAGGGATTATTAAAAGTTATCAATCACTTCAAGATTTTTAGAATCTCTTAGCCACAAAAGGTAGTATATCCCCATAAAGATAAGGTATTTTTCAAAACTTTGATCAGAAAGCACAAAATAGGCTTTTCAGCTACTAAATTATAGAATTCAATTACATTTAAAAAGAATGTAAATATTGAAGGTAAATGAACAACCCACTCTTTGTGTTACAGGAGTGTCTTCTTACAGCCTTTGTCATTCTGCACTCCTCACTACCATAAAGGTATGGCTGAGTTAAGCAACCATTTTCCCTGGACTAAAATGGCACGTTCATTTTTAGATGGTATTACAGTGACCTGTCTTGCAATTTAAAAAAAAAAAAAAAAAAAAGATACTAAAATATAAAAGATAATTTGGATTTTTTTCTAGCTCTGATTCAATGCACAATTGCTCTACCCTTTTAAAAAGTGTGCGTGATCAACACAAGTGTAACCTACCTGGTAAAGCAGTGAGTTGAGTACAGAAAGCACACACATGTGAAAGAGTACGCAGGTTAAAATTGAGGCAAAGATGGATGGCTCAGTGTGATCAAACTAGATCACCCCAGAAGGAACAGCTCAGACCTACCAAATGAACAAAAAGCAAACCAACGGGAGGAGAAAAGCAGATGGTATCATCTGATACACGCCTTCTACCAGCCCTCTAACACTGTTCATATGACAGCAGCAGTACAGTGAAATTCCAGGATTTAGCTCGTAGGAGCTGAGGAAGTCTCCCTGTGTGCTCCCACGGCTTATCACTGTTACAGCATCACTCCACCTAATTACAGTACTGATGTAAAAAGATCCCACCAGCTGGTCGGCTGTATCAGGGAAAGCTCCCAAGCTATTCTCACCTTCACAGATTTTTATTCTGCACATCTTCCCACTCTCTAATTAAACCTTCCTTTTGAATTAAATGGCTTTATTATGTTCCCCAAATCTCTTTAATATTAAATATCTAGCATATTCTTGGTATTTTGAAATCTGAGTTCCCCTTCAGTTATTAACTATCATATTTTAAGAGCCAGCAATTGGTCTGACAACAACAATGCCAGAATTGCTCACTATCACAGGTCACACACAAAAGCAGAAAGTTCAGCAGAGATGTAATTATTCTTAAAACATGAGAAATGCCTGAGAGCTACAAAAAGAAAAATCAAGCCCTCCAGAAAATTCCAATTCAAGATAACAGTTACCAGTTACTCGAAGATTTAGGAAGCTGTACAGTAATATGTACATGGGTTGCTTTAGCCTTCACTGGAAGATGAGTCATGCAATATAACAGTCTTAAATTACCAAAGGAACTCCACACAGATAATACAAATGAACATTAAAACAAGCCTAACTTGGGGGAACTGCACAAATGAACATTAAAACAAGCCTAACTTGGGGGAACTGCACAAATGAACATTAAAACAAGCCTAACTTGGGGGAACTGCATCCACAGTAAAGTGTATTTTCCAAGCCAAGTTTCCCCAGCAGGAGTATACATTTAACTATGTTTATAAAGTAAGACTTTCTGGGTTTTTTTGCAAGGGTAGGTGGAAAGGAAGGTAGGTGAGGATGAGGTCAAAAAGGGATGAGAAGGGTTTTTAAGAGTTCTGACATGGACCTTCTTCCCCAAAACGCCTTTTAAAATGGCTGATGTAAAGAGACCTGACAATGAGCACTCAGCCCAATCGCTTCACGGCTCTCAAACTACCCTGAGCAGCTTCAGCATTGTCATTCAGTGTCCTGTGCACAGTAAATTAACTGTTATGAACCACTGGACCTACTGCACTGAGTGCCTGCTCAGTGCCTGGTGACAGTACCTGCTGTGAAGCAGAACAGAATGTTCTTCCTTGTTCTACTCCTGTTGTCCACTTGGTTTAGGAACTATGCTGCATCTCTTTCTCTTAAATCTTGCACTAGTAAGATGTCTAGCTAAGCAATACCTAATATTTGTAGGTGCTGGCACCCACTGTTATGGATGCTAGATATGAATTTATTGGGATCAGGATATAAGTAACATTCAGCTGAGTTACAAATAATGCATTAAAGCGATCCTATGCAAGAATCATAAAACTTGCTTCCTCCCCCTCCTCCTCCTTTACTCCTTGATCAGCTGCAGAACATAACTGTCTGGGGCTTTTTCTTTTTTTCTCTCTTTCTTTGAGAATGCTGGAAGTCAGATTTGTTCCAGAAATCCTGTCTGCTGGGAAGGATGTAGCAAAACAATACAGAGTGCAAAAATAAGAGACGGAATTGGAGATGAAAGTGTGTTGAGAACAAAGAGGCTACAAGGAGCTGAAACTGTACAGTAATACACTGACAAACTGTGGGACCTTGCTTAGAAGGCAAGCTGGATGAGGTCAGTCATGTACTTCACCTTAAATATTTAAATTTCAGTTGTAAACCTCCTAAATAAGAAAAAAAACATCAGCATATCTAGAGATGCCTCACATTCAACAAGTGTTCTGTGGCTTCCATATCCCTGCCCAAACTCACAGCCACCTCCAGCACATTTATTTGTAGCTTTATCTTCAGACTGTTAAATGCAATGGATGTGTGACAAGTATCACCTTCAGTGTAACGTCGCAGAGTTCTCCAGCTTCAAAGAAGTGAAGAAGAGAGCTGTGAAAATCTTTCCAAGCCTCATTTGCCTCAAATACAAAGACGTCATCTTCACCATCACTGTTGGAAGGCCTGGTTTGCTGCTGCTGCTGTTGCTGCCGCCTTTTTCCCTTTATCAGATGTTGTTTTGCCTGCTCAGGGACCATGGATTCTGAAGCCATTGGCTGTTTTTTCTCTCACTGCATGAATCTTCAAAAACTCCTGCCAAGACAAAATCCAGCCCATCAGAAGTTAAGTTCTAAAACGCAGTTCTGCCCTCCTTCCTGTTAAAAAAAAAAAAAAAAAAAAAAGAAATGAGGCCTTAGGTGATGCTAGTACATTAACACTTTGATTACATGTTATAAATACTACCTATGATCTTACTTCGGGAAGGTGAGAGGAGCAGGGGCAAAAAAACCCAACCCACAGCCAAGAGTCCTATGTAGGCATCTCTAGGTAAAGTCATTGTTTGTGAACTTGCTGCCCACACTTCTTGAAAGAGACATGAAAAAGGCAAAGATGTATCACAGAATCGTAGTTTGTGTTGGAAAGGACCTTAAAAATCATCCAGTTCCAACCCCCTGCCAGGGGCAGGGACACCTCCTACTAGACCAGGTAGCTCAAAGCTCCATCCAACCTGGTCTTGAACACTTCCAGGGATGGGACATCCACAGTTTCTCTGGGCAACACGTTTCAGTGCCTCACCACCCTCATAGTAAAGAATTTATTCCTAATATCTAATCTAAATCTGTCCTTTTTTTTTTTTTAAATACCCCTTTGTCCTGTGACTATCTGCCCATGTAAAATGTCACTCTCTCTCTTTTTTATAACCCCCCTTTAAATACTGGAAGATACTCAAGAGTATATGCAGTAGCAAGTTCTTCTCTTACACTGGCTAGATTTGGGTTTCATGGTTTTTTTAATTAATTTATAATGCATTCATTCTTCATTCTACACTGAGAGTTGATGACTGCTGCAGTTCAGTGATTTCTGCTCATGGACTTGGGTGTTGCAGGATATGGACTGACCAAATGAACAAAAAATTCTTCTACAATAAAAATTTAAATCACATGCCTGGGAGTAGAACTGATTTTCCTCTGGGCTATTTTGAAAGCGTCCATGTCTTTTACTAAATTTACAGCTCTTCATGCATCAGTACCAGAGAAAAAGCAGGAAGTGATCTGAGGCAACCGCACTCATTTCTGCTGTGGGTCTCAGGGTTGTTGCCAGCAACATATCCTGAGTGGTGACAGGACTGGTGGCTGCACTGGGCCAGGCAGGTTAAAGCAAGCAAACATGCCTAGAGTGGTGCTTTAAGCAAGGTAAGTATTCCCTTTAAAAGGTATCTAAGGGAAAGATCTTACTTCTAAAACCCCAAACTAGATATTATGGACCATGGGATATTTATACAGTTTACAGCAATAAATACTTTTTCTGCTGAAAACTTAGCTTCCATTACACCAGATTTGGCAAATTACTATACTAAGACCTTTTCCTAGTTTGTTAGGTTATTTTGATATTCAAAGTAATCCTCCACTACTGGTACTCACCACCTTTGCTTTGTTTAACCTGCCCTTCAAATGACGCTTCAAGCACAACTTCCTGAAGTTACAAAAACTAACATGGACAAAAAAGAGGAAAAAAAACAGAGAAGCTGAAATGCTGTACAAGGGTGTTGAAGAGCATCATGTGTCATTCCTTCATCTCTAGCCTACACTTCTAGGGAACTCATGCTTATTTTGGTCTTTGACTGACACTCTCACTTCACCACACCTAACAATTTTTACAAGCAAGTGCTGCTTTCAGCTGCCACTGACTCCTAAATGATAGTTCACAGCTCCCAAGTCATAAGGTTTTTCCATCTGACACATATGCTACATTTATCCTCATGCTTTAACTGCAACTGCACATATACTTTCCCCGGTTATTCTGTGTCTCATTATAAAAAGAGGCTGATGGCTACCTTTTACCTATTCTGGGTTATGCCACTGTAAACACCATCATCAAACCCATGAGTCTTCAGATAAATCAGTGCTGTTTGGGTCAATTTTTTTATGCTATAAATTAACTAAACAGTAACACATCAGCCAAACACAACTGATTTTAAGCAATGTTTTTCATCCAAATCTGATGCTTATAGCAATTAAAGCTCTTGGAGATGCTCTGGTCTGTAAGAAAAGAAGTTGAGTGCATATTTGGATTTACATATTTGATACATACTAAGTATACACTTGATACTGTAGGGGAAGAAACTAGAAATCACATCAGAGGAAACCAATGCCATTACTCAGGCTCACAGTCATAGATCACATGGATGAGGGAGCCCCCAGTATTGCAATATCAAACATGTGGATGGGAACATGAGAGCAAGTCAATTACTGCTCCTCAGGTAAAAAGAGGTTTCTGCAACACATTGAAAATTAACATGTATAATATAACCTTAGGGAAATATTTAGATGGCAGTAGTCTGACATACTTTAGCTTTCTTTCAATGAGACTTTGTGACAGATAATAATATTTAGGATAAGATTTTTATTCTTCCCCCAAGTCACCAATTTAGGAGCATCTTGTTCTGTGACACATCTCAGTCATGCAAATCTTTTTAGATATGTATCTCCAAATCCTCCACTGGTCTTAATTACAACACCTCACAGTCTGAGTCTTCAAACAAATCATCATCTGCTATGGAAAGTACCAGCTGTAGCCATGTTTCATTTGCAGAAAATACTGGCTTAGGCTCATCTGAATGTTTAGCTGTAGGCATTTTCTGTTCTCAGATTTTAAACGAAAAAGAAATGAATTTTTGTAGCACTTGAATCAAGATACTAAACTCTGGAAATCTGAGGGTGACTCTGAAGTCGAGGAGGTCAGTGTATTTCAACTCCACAAACAAAGAGAGAAGAGCCATTTACAGATCTGCTCCCCAAATCATCAGTAATTCAACAATAACATCCAGCTGCTTGAGGTTAGTTTAGAACTGGGTGAATAACACATATACACAGTCTTGCCTCTCTAGAACAAAACACTGCCATGTGTTTCAGAACTTCAGTAACCTGTTCCCTTTTTCATGTTGGCAATTAAGTCTTCCAGTCTCAGTACAGTGTAGTATTTTGACAACATTAAGAGTGTAAGTGACCATCACAGGAAGTGACTAAGTAAACTAAAGGAAGTGCCTCATTTATAACATCATCTGTTATTCCTTGTAAACAGCTGCTTGACACTTTACATGAAGGAGCAACTGTCTGATTAAAAAAAACAAACCACACATGTTTACAGTTCACCATTGTTTGCTGAGAGCAAGTCAGCAATTTTCAAGTTAAATATTTAGAAATATTGATGATGTCTGCTGTTCTCAAGAGTGCAGCTGTTCCAGACCCCAAAGTTCACATTCTGGTTGTCAGTGCTGGTCTCCAGGCAAGGGAGACCAGCACTGACAACAAGGGAGACCCTATTCCTCAAATTTATTAAAGCAAGCAGGGATGGCGCATCAGAGCACAAACACATTATCTTATAACTGCTACAATTCAGATAACAGTAACATCCTAAAGTGAAGTGATTTTGATTCAGACATTCTAGTTCAATCTTAAACTGGATCAAGTGCAAAATTACTCATGTCACATAAAGTGCTTATGTTCAAGAGAGGTATAATAACTCAATTTTGAAGTAAAAATAAATTGCAGACATTGGACAGTGGCAGGATATGAATAGCATTGCTCTGCTTTCCCCTATCATGAAATTAAAAGCCCAGGAATCCTGTCCAACAAGCCAACCTAGATGTTGGAGTACATGGCCTCCTTCCCCTGACGGCTACCTTGGGAGATGGTGCCCCAGAAAAAAAGGATCATCCTTATTCTTTCTCTTGACACATGGAAGGAAGACACTTCAGTGACACAAAATAAACAAAAAACCAAGACTCCCACTATAACCAAAACTAGGCAGCATTCAGATGAGAGGAATTATGATACCTGTAAATCCAATGCACTTTATAATCAGTGGTACTGAAGCTTGAAAAAAAGGGGGCAGAGTCAAGGAGAAATCAAGACACAGAGGAAATTTCACCAACTACCCTTTATGTAATTTTGGTTACCCACCCACAAGATGAACTAAAATCACACCAAAATCTGCAGGGCAATCGGCTTCGCTCAGAAAACAATAAGTCCTTTTAACTGAAGAACTCAAGAAATTTGCCTTTTGCAAATGCAAAGTCTGTAGCTCCACGAGGAGGGGGGTGACTCAAGTACAAGACAGACTGCATGCATATAAACATACACAAGTTTGTACGTGTGGCTGTGCAAAGCTACCTTGTCTGATAAGGAGCCTGGTGAGTGTGTGTGGGTAATGAACCGCTGATGCTGCTGACCATAGGGTTAGATAAGCACAGGCAGGGACAAGATCTTCTCCAGTTTGATCCAGCCAACAGAACAAGTCGAGCTTTTGTCTTGTGTTGTTCTAAGAAAACTTGAACATTTGGAAAACAGGCAGCTGGCAGAGCTAAGGAAGAGACAGAGGGAGAGAAGTGGGAAGGGCAGGAGGCAGCTGCAGTGCAAACTGCAGACAAGCAGCAGCTCTGGCAGGGACTGCATAAGCAGCTGTTCACTGTTCAGTCTGGTTACAGATGTATCATCAAGAAGGAACATGAGGGGAAAAAGGACAGACAAAAAACTGTAGAAAATCCTCAGTGCTCTCCCCTTCTCCATTGACCAATTCCACCAAAGATGATGTATAAACTTTATGCAAAACTGTTCAGATGTCCATGCTAATTAGGTCAAATCAGACCTAGATCAGAAGATTTGATGGTTTTCCCAAACACAGGAAAGTTCAAGTCACATACTGTATCACAAACCTAAGCCCACTGTACTTTTCAGCAGTTAAAGTTATTTAACAGAAAGAATAAAAAAAAAAAAAAAGTCAGAAACCACATATCTAACTGGTTTAGCTTGTTTAAAACCACTAGGG